ACATGCTGTAGCTAGGTCTTTCTTTTCAAATTCTTCCATGAATAAATTGCCCATAACTAGTGATAAAGGACTACCCATAGGAGCACCATGTGTTTGCTCGTAGTATTTCTCCTGCCACTAAAAACTAGTTGTATTCAAGCTCAATTTCAGAAGTTCATATATACTTTCAGGAGCAAGGCTAGACGTCGTTTTAGACAGTGTATCATCTGAAAGCAGCCTGTCTTTTGCAATGTTACACAATGTTAATGTTTTTGCAATGTTAATGTTGAATTACTTATCGACTGTAACCATGCAAACATACAAGAATATATATGTTTTGCCACAAGTTATATTAATGGATAATGCATTAATTATTTAAGTCAAAAGCTTGGCAGAAAGTAATAATCTCTTTTGGATTTAAGCCGTTTTAAACATCTTTTCAATGATCCATTGTGCGCCAATATTGCTGCCAGCTTAGCTCTGAAGCTCTTCGTAACTTTAATATTTTTAAACTTATCAACGCAAATTGCCTTATACAAACAGGTAAATTATGCGCATAAGAACATCATATTCAAGGAGCCTGTTGGATTGAATGTGGATGTTTTAGTTTCAAGGAGATACAGCCTCATTTATCCGATAAACCTTTACCACATAATTTTGAGACGCTCAATTTATGAGTTGCAATTCAAAGTCTTGAATGCGGTCAGAAAATCAACAAAACATAGTTATAAAAGCATTATACTACCAACAAAACCATTCAAAATGGACTTAACAATATGCGTCGACATATCTTCAAATCTTGGTCCTGATAACAGCGTGAGAAATAGTCGAGCGTCTGTGCGTACATCCGCAAATATCTCAAATCTTTAGTCTTGAAAGATCTTTCTTACATATCAGAACACAACTTTCACCAGTTGTGGATCAGTGTACAGTGTAAGAAGACAAAGTCGGTCATAATCTGTGTAACTTATCGCCCAGATGATTGGCCACTAAGCGTGTTTGACAATGTCCTCAAGCCAAATTTCATCCAAGCTTTAATGCTGAACAAGCCGGTTGTGATACTCAGGATTTAAACTGCGATGTTTTAAAACAGAATTGTCCTAAATCCAAAGCATTGGTCCAATTTTCTGCAGAAATGAACCTTAGTCAACTTATCAAGTCTCCTACACAAATCACCAATACCACTCAATCCTTACTAGACGTTGTCTTAGTCTCTTCAAATTCACCAGTCCATCGCAGCGGTGTACTAAATACAGCAATAAGTTACCATCTTCTAGTCTATGTTGAACTCAAGCTGAAATCTCCTAAAATTACTCCCCATTACATGAGCATTTGTAGTTACAAGAATTACTCACCAAGTTTATTCATAACCAACCTTGCCAGTAAATCACACAGCTTGATATCTATTTTTAACAAAGACAATGTAAATACCAAGCTAGCGATTTTCAATCAAACCATCCAATTCTATCCTAGACTTACATGCCCCAATAAAAACAGTCAAAATACATAAACGTCCTTGCCCATTTGTAACTCAGGACATAAAGATGCTCATGAAGACCAGAGACCAACTACACTGCCGATACTTACAGACACGAGATGATCTTGATTGGAGCAATTTTAGAATTCTCGAAATGCCATAAAGACAATGTTAAGAGACTCAGAAAGAAATTATTATCTAGAAGAAGTTCAGCAACATAAAAATAGCCCAGGCTCTCTTTGGAAAATTATTAATCAAGCCATACCGTTAAAAAGTAAAGAAAAACACACCTACACAAAAGACTCAAAGATAGTCGCTGACGAATTCAACTAGTTTTTCATGTCTGTAGGCAAAAATACAGAACAACATCACCAAGGAGGAAGTACCTTTAAAGACAGCTCATATGCCCCTTGAAGATGTCTTCTTCAGAACAGTAACTAGTGAAGAAGTATGCCGTGTCATTTCATTCCTGCCACTGAACAAGTCCCCTGGACCAGACAAGATGAACTCTCAAATCCTCAAAGACTGTCTCCCCGTTATATTAGGATCACTCAGAAACACTATAAACTGCTCCCTAACATCTTGTATTTTTCCTACTGCATGGAAGGAGGTGGAAGCGATTCCCATAGTGAAAGACGGAGACCACAAAGTAGCATCAAACAACCGCCCAATATCTCTTCTTGCCATAGCTTCTAAGGTGTGTGAAAAGATTGTACTTGAACAATTCAATACTTACCTTATAAGTAAAAACCTTCTCTCCCCTCATCAAAGTTGAGACAAAAAACTCCATTCCACCAAAACCTTGAACATTTTTAGTACTGACACGATGCTGGAGGCCATGGACAAAAAGAATCTCATCGCTTTAGTGTTGTTAGACCTCTTAAAAGCCTTTGACAGTATCAACCATCACAGAATGTTACACAAACTAGCGAATGTTGGTGCTTCCCCAGAAACAGTAAAGTTGTTTAAAAGCTACTAGTCAGATCGCGCTTTCAGTCCACCAGAATCAACTCCACCCTAACTGATCCACTACCAATTACTCACGGAGTACTTCATGGCCATCTCGGTCCTCATTCAACAAATACATTCTTGAAGCATTCCTTTCAGCATCATATTGCCTTTTTCTAGCAGCCTTATCTTCCTCACTTGCAATTCAAGCCTCTTTGCCTTGCAACGTGAAATAAAACAAGACGCTGGCTTAGGCGTACACTCGTGCTCTAGGGATTGTGTTCTAGGGATTTGATAGCATTACTTGACTGTCTTGAGGGACACAATCATGGCGTGCTGTTGGAACCTATAGCGTAAGTTAAGGCTTTTAGGCCGTATTCTGTGGCCGATTATTGTTCAGTTTCGTTGCCCCCCTTCGGGCACTACTTGAAAACACGATAGAAAATTAGGATAAATTATAGAAAGTCTAAATTCACTTGCTTTCACCTTCGTAAACCTGTAGTTTTCGAGCATTTCATCTTCGAAAAATCAGTGAATTTGCATGTTTTGCAATACACCGATGCCATTTTGATTCAGGGAATGTCGTGGATACTTGGTGTAATATACGACATATATAGCAGATTCAGCAGTTTTATACCAGTATTTACGTGAAGTTTCCAGCATTTTTGCTGTGCAAGCAGGTTTCAACAAGGTATGGTTTGTATTAAAACACTACATCAATGTTAATCGCTATAAAATCAACTATAAAACAGAAAATCTTGGGTATACTAATATGCATAACCGCCACAGCATATGAATACAATCTAAATCTTAACAACTTACCTTTGTAGTTGTTGAACATGGTTCTGAAAGCTCTTTCATTTCGACATTCATATTTTTCACAATGGAAGAACATCGATTCTAACACAAGGCACAAGGACACGAAGAAAAATAAACATTGCACAAAATCACCCCCAAACCTCCCTAAATGCCAACTGATGTACATAATTCATCCGAAAAGGAAAAAAGACCATGGCATTTTAAGACACCGCTGCGCATAGCCGCATATGCAGGCGGAGTAATATGGCATCCACGTATTTGCTACCTAATTAAAGAAAACAATTATTCAAGAGAAATAAACTTTAAATTATGCTATTTCTTTAAAACGTTATGTTGTTTAGGTAGCCAACAAACCTGCAAAATTATGTTTTGTTATTTTCTCACTATTTCTGCATCATTCTCACTACATTTGGGAACAAATGTTTAAAATCTCACTGTTTTTGCATGAGACAGGTTGGCAAGTCTGTTATTATAGTATGGAAAAGGTCCAGAGGTGGAAGCATGCTTTTTATGGCGAAAATACTAGGTTTTAGCTTAAAAAAGGCCTACTGTTGCACAAATTGCTAGAATTCTTGAGAGAAATATAGATTTCAGGGTAATAAAGGTGTGTTTAAAGTGGTGCTATTTTCTAAAACTGAAACAGCATGTCTGAAATGAAAACAAAATAGTTTTTTACTATTAAAAATAGTTTGCTTTAATACTGTCAAAAGCCTGTAGGCTCATTTGGCTTCATCTTCATACTCAAGTTTTAAAATACATCATGAAATTTAGGAGAGACATGCAGTTCCTCAACAAAACATGAATTTTAGGCTTAACAACAAACTTTTCCACATGCAAATGTAATTAGTGTCACAAAATCCGTATCTTGTTTCATAACTAATAAACTACAACTTACAAATATATTTTACAAATAAGTTCATTTCAATCAAATCAATTGAAATATTACAACACAATATATTTTGAAGTAACAAGCAAAGTGAATGCAAATGTTATTAGTGTCATAAAATCCACATCTCATAGTTTCATTAATTAATGGTTAACTAAGAAAGTTGTGTGATCACCATACTTTTAGAATTGTGAGTGATTATGTCTTTCTAGTAACAAAAGCACTTCTGCAATTTCATCTTCTTTTAATTTGTTTAATTCTCCCACAATAACATTTTTTAGAGCATTCTCAAAGGCTACTAAGTGCAATTTCTTCTTATCAGAGGAACGGACCACAATGTTGGTACAAAATTTTTTTGTGCAGTCTGCCAATGGCATAATACCACCACATCTGTTGCAAGTAACAACCCGTTTAGTAATTTCTTGAAGAATTTTTCGGCAGCATTTTATACACTGAATGAAAATTTCAACTTTCTCAATCAAGTGAATAGTTGGAACTTTTATCACAACTGTATCACTCATCAATTAAACTTCTTCCTTGGAAATTTGAACTGCACACAGGCTTTGGTCATCAGGGATGGGTGTTATAACTGAAGAAATGGTGGAGCTTAGCTTCTTCTCATTACACCAGACATGAACTTGCAGAGGTGAAATCTGGTACACCTTACCAACTTTGACTTTAGTAATGTTTTGTTCCCACAGGTCAACATTGATAACTCCAGTTTTATCAGCAAATATAGCTTCAGCCACAATAAGATTTTTGCTAGCTACATTGCTGGGTTTGATGCAACCTCGTACCCAGGGTCTTTACTCGTGGGGAGAAAATACCCTGGTATGGGCTGGTCATGTGACCCTAAAGGAATTCTTCTACTAAGTGGGGGTGGGTAATTAATCGCAGGCTTAATCGAATACAAGTACGAGGTTGAATCGAATAAAGAATAGAAAGCATGGGTTTTTTGTCTTGTCTTCATACCGCTATCAATAAAAGTGTTATTTATAACAATATAAATTTGAAGCCAAAACAAGTGAAGTGCTTGGAGGCGCTTTATAAAAAGAAAGACTGTGTCGCTGTTTTACCTACAGGTTACGGAAAATCATTGATATACCAATTGCTGCCATCATTGCTGAACGAACGAAATACCTTTGAACAAATACGATTAGGTCGTGAATTAAGCCACAATACTCCTGTTATTCTTGTTGTTTCACCTCTAAATTCTCTTATTTGTGATCAACTAAGAAAGCTAAATAACGGCGCGGATTTGAAAGCAGTATTTCTCAAAAAAGATTCCACCAGTTTCTGTGAGGCACCTGATATCAAGGACGCATTGTTTGACATCATGTTTCTTCATCCGGAGGCATGTTTGTCGTCAAAAACAGGAATGGATTTATTCCAGTCTTCGCCGTACCAAAAATCGGTCGAAGTTATCGTTGTCGATGAAGCTCACTGCATTTTGGAGTGGTAAGTTGAACAATATTTTTTTATGTTTGAAAATTTGTTCCAAACTATAAATAACTGACTGATTTTAGTGAATGTTTGATTATTCAATTTTATGTTTACATACCACCAAACATGAAATATTTTTATGTTTTAGGGGTGATAATTTTAGGACTGACTATTCCTATCTTGGTATGCTGTGCTCTCTTTTTCCATCAGTTCCAGTCTTAGCACTTACTGCAACTGCAAGCAAAAAAGATAGAGAAGTAATAAAGAGCACCTTGCACATGAGGAATCCACTGGAAGTTGTAGGAAGCTAAACAGAACAAATATTTTCTTCAAGAAGGTTTTCAGGAATGGTCCAGATATTGAATCATATGAAGAAATTTTAACACCAATTGCAATGAAGCTATTAGAAAAAAACTGAATTTCCCATGACAATTATTTATCTCAACTTAAGATGGTGTGGATTTGCATATAGGCTCTTTGAAAGAATTTTAGGCCAGGAGCAATATTTTCCAACTGGCGCAGACACAATTCCTGAGAATCGATTATTCTCCCAATTCCACTCGCCACAAACTGCTACCATGAAGGACATATTTTGAACGAACTTGCACACCCTGGTTCAAAGTTGAGAGTTGTTTTTGCCACAGTTGCAATGGGCATGGGAGTGGATATGCCCTCAATCAGAAACATTATCCATATTGGACCACCTAGAACTGTTAGGGAGTACATGCAAGAAACTGGACGAGCAGGCAGAGATGGATCTGCCTCAACGGCTGTGTTGTATTATAATAAAGACATTGCAAAGAACAGGAAAGGGATCACTGAGGAAATTAGGGACTATTGCAACTTAGATTATTCATGCATGAGGAAATTTCTTTTAGATTGTTTAGATGTGACACTTTCCACCCAAGAACAGGTTGTTGGCCACTTTTGCTGTAGCAATTGCAGTTTGGTATGTGATTGTGTTAGTTGTAAGATGTAATTAATTAACGTAGGTGATCAAGAAACATGGTAAAGATATATGATTCCATAAAAGTGTAGGTGCAAATGAATTTAATTGAAAAATACAAAACCTTTAAATGGTGTTTAATTGAATTTTTGTTTGAGAATATTAACAAATTGAACATTTGTATGTATAGGAAATGGCATATAGTTCAATGAGAAAATATGAGAAAATAAGAAATTGCATGTGTATTTATACTAAATATTATCTCCCGAAACACAAGTGCAGTTTTTCATTAATACATTGAGAACAAGTGCAATTTACTATTCATACCATGATTATATCCCAATTACTATACAAAAGAGTTGTTGCTCTTGCATGTGAGGGCAACAATCAATGTTCAATTTGTACACTTGGCTGATCAAAATCCAGTTAATGGCTATAAATCTATATACACAATGAAATTAAATTGGAACTTAATTTTAGTTAAGTAAACATTCCCAATCATTATTTGTACAGTATGCATAGTATTACAAGTCATTTTTTTAATTGTCAGCCTTATCACTATCTCCTTCTTCAGCATCTTCTGTTGCTGTTACATTGTATAATAAGTTTTTCTTATGTCTATTGAGCCATTCTTTGAATTTTCCTTCATCAAGATCATGTAGTGGGTCAGATGACACGTCTGGAAATGAGCTATGTTTTCTCTTGCTTTCACATGTGAAAGGCTTTAAATCACGCAAGTCCTTCAAAATTTTCAGTTCATCTGAAGATGATGATTTGTGACTATGGGCACTAGATTTTCGATGGATTGCCACTTGGGCATCAAAATTCTGCATTGATTTCCTTATGCCACCTACAGCTTTACTTGCCCGCTCTATTGCTTTGTCTGTCTTGTTGGCACCCATGTTCTTGATGATCTGCTTCAAATCTCTGTTACGATTCTCTTGCATGAGATCAATCTCTAAGTTCTTTCCCTTGCCTCCAGTCCAGTTTGCAGTTGCTGCCCATGTGCATTGGTAAGCTTCTTCTTCAGTAAGCAACACATCATTCTGCATAATGCTAATAAACATCTCAATCCCATAGGCATTGTATCCAGGATCAGTTTTGAAATGATGTAGTAGTTGTTTATGAAGTTGGTTTATTCTGAGTCCATTTCCTTCTCTGACAGCATCTTTGAGGTCAACAATTAGAAAATAATATTTGAGCAAGAGCAATGAGTGCTCCCTTACAAAATCTGGCAACTCGTCTGATAACTCTGAGGATGGAATATCATCTAAGATGCCATGCATAGATTCTTGACCAGGTGGAAGTAGATACTCATTTATGAAATTATCCAACATTCCATCCCAGTACGCCTGCCTTTTCTCCTCTACAGAGATCAAATGGTAAGGTGGACTGTTCTTCCTTGGTGGATCACCAACTGTTGTCATGCCAAAGAAATTCAGCAATGCCTCAACAGTATGCATTTGCCAACAGAAAGAAAGAATTGTTCACATTCTTCGAAGTGCTTCACATCCTTGGTCACATTCCTTCTTTGTAATTTTCCCTAAAGTATCGCAGGGTTTCCAATTCTCGAGCAGAATTTTTGAATAACTTCTTGAATATCAACTAATGTAAAATGAGTTATTCTTAGCCTTCAATTTCAAAACAAGAAGGTATTAAATGGGGATATTCAACTGAAATTATGTGATGTACACATTATAACATCTTATAATAAAATTTAAATTATAATAAATTATAACAAAAATTTATGAATTGATTGGAAAAATATGCATGCACCTAAATTATTTTAACAGTTTCATTCCATATATACTGAAAAGCTAATTTGAACTCAATGAATCTACATGTATATGTTCGAAATGATTATGAAAATTTCATAAGTTGAGTTAAAATCAGATGGTTCAAAATGAGCATAGAGAGCTTGTGGGTTTCATGAAATATTTCATTTTCTAATTGCCAGATAAACTCAATGACAAGTTAATATGCTCATAATTAGTAATTGGCTTACTTTAAGAAGGCTTTGTTTGGTATGCCAATCTGCTATCCGAAAAGGATAAAGGTGATCCAGTCTATCTGTTGGAGTATGGCAACCAGCTCGAAGATCTTTGCCACGGCCAATCTCACTCGTGACAACTGATCGCCATAACATGGAACCTTTGGTAAGGGTTCAGGTGGGAGTTCCCGTGGGATATTTGCTCCAGGCTGATCTGGACGAGATGTTGTTCCAACAGGGGGACCAGGATAACAACAGGAACACGATTTGCTTACTACACCAGCTTTAGTATACAGTTGTTGAATCCACATTTCCATTGTATCCAACATCTACCAAATCAGAATATTTCTTTCTCGTCTTTCATTAAAACAGGAAAAGGAATGATAACAGATGGGGAACTCAATTGCAGCTGGATGGATGCTTGCTGTACTAACCTACTAGGTCTTGAAATGTGCGAATGGCTGTAGGAATTCACATATTATGTTACCAATTAGGACCTTATATCGTTCCCTTGTGACAGCCATTTCTTCTGCATTTGGGGTCACAATCGTGTTCACATTAACATGGGAAAGAGACTGCTGAGGTGCATTGCTTGAAAATTCCTTTCGAGGCACACGATCAAAAACCAGGCTAGTTGCAACAGCATGGACATCTTTATTCTGGTTGTCTGATTGCATCTCATGAACTTTTATTGTCCAGTCAATGTTATCCATGACAAACACAAACTTGCAACCTTTCTTGATAAGTTCAACAGCATGGTGCATAAAATTATCCCCAATATCATCCAGAATGGTATATTTCATCTTGGATGAAAGGCAAATTCCATACTTATTAAATCTATCCCAAACCTAGGAGGGTAGAAGTAAGTCATTTTTTCAGTAAAACTATTAAAACAACAACAAAAAACTTGCTCATGTGTCTGTACCGGTACCACTGAGCTATATTAATATAGCTCAGTGGTCCGTACACAGTGGTCGGTATATATGGTCGTAAACATGTCGTAAGTCACGAAATGCTTACCTCTTGATTAGCATTTCCATCAATTAATATCAAACTGTTCAATCTCTGCAAGAGGCTCATCTCATGAAATCGCCTAAACATGATCAGTCCGTAAATTAATACCATGGTTGGGATATTTTTTTCAACGTTTGCGTCCATTTCCAACAGAGCAAGAATAATTTCATAAACCGTGGGGCATATCCGCTTCATTTCGTCAATTATTCTATTAAAGTCTACAGTTGCTAGCGCATCAAAGTCCCTTTGCATCAAAACGGAGTTGGTATCTCTCCGAGCAACATATCTTAGTTCTTCCTGCAACTTGACGACAATGTTTCCTTTCGATTTTTCTAAATTCTCCCCGGGTAGGTCTGAAGTAGTTTGCTGAAAACAAAAAAACGATACATGTGAGAAACTAATAAGTAATGTGACAAATGCATCGATTTTTCACAGTAAATTTAAAAATATATTTTTGTTTACTGAACGTTCATTAAATGAAAAACACAACTTGATACTGGAAAGTATATCATCTACCTCTTTAAAATAACTTACTAAGCATTTATATTTTGTAAAACTCTGGAAAATGGTCAAGAAAATAAGCGGTTTCTTCAAAAGAACAGCCGCTTCCGTATCAAAATAAGCGAACTTTTTGTTTCACCTATACTATATCAAGGACATATGGTTTAAACAAACAAAACCTAACGACGGGCTTATTATATTTAAGAATATTTATATTTTGCAAAGAAAAAGCTCAACGCGCATTTACATTTTTTAAAAAAACGTACGACTTTATAAAAAGGGCGAAACTGAAAAGATACACTTGTAGTAATTCTCCAAACTTACCGATAAATTTTCTCTTGAAGAAAATATAATGGACCGGCGTTTGCTTGTTTGTCGTTGGACCTTTGCCGCGGGCAGCGTTGAAGGCGACGGTTCCGAGCATCTTTTCGCCCTCGATTGCGATTCAATAACCTTTTGGCTTTTTACAATAAGTTCTTTGAATTCTTTATAATTGGAGAGCCTTCTCTCACAAGGTCTGCATATATTTTGCGGCAGGTTTTGGTCTCGTAGCAGAGAATCTCCGAGGCAATCTTCAGCCACTGAAAGAATCTCAGCGTTCGCGGATCTAAATAACTTTTTGACGTGGGTCACATCGCAAATTTTCAAACATAAACGACAACACGAGCTTTGAATGTTTTCGCGAAAACGGTAATATTTTTTCGGAGTATCAAATGATTTTGCCATACCAGGTGCGCACGAATGTGATAATCTTTGTTGACATCATTTACATTAATAGTCGTCACAGTTTGATATCGTAACAATGCGTACTCACTCCCCCACCCTAATGCACAATCCGCCATTTTACCCAAAATCTGGGG